TTCTTTCCTTGCAATGCATGCACAGTATCCTTCCTCCTGGGAGAAAGGCATCCCTTGCTCTGGAGGGAGCTCTTACTTACAGAGGGCCAAGGGAGGCTCTGAAGTCCTGCCAGCCATGGGTCTACTCAGGAGTAAGCTCCCTCCAGCCCAGCCTGGGGCTAGCAGGCAAGCAAAGAGGAGGACGCTGGATCTCTCCTTCTTTGCAAGCCGATTAATTTGCAGGACAAATCCAGCTCAAGGAGGCGCAGCTGCAGCTTTGCAAATCGTTGGCCTGGTGCTACAGCTCTTGGAAAAATCGTAATAACAATAAATGCAAACGCATCCGGCTCCTTTGCAAAGTCTTGCAATTGCACCATGAAGCATTAGGAATTTTGGAAATAAAAAAATGAAAATTGGAATAAAATGCACATTCCCTGACCGGGAATCGAACCCGGGCCGCGGCGGTGAGAGCGCCGAATCCTAACCACTAGACCACCAGGGAAAGCTGTCTGCAAGGTGGCTTGTGACTCGCTGTAAATGCAAAGTTTAAAAAATGATTACTACTGCCCAGTATTTGTAGGCACAATATTCTACTTTATTCCAGAGGCAGTTGCTGCAAAAGAGGGGAGAAGGCAGTATTAAAAATGGCTGTGGAAGTGATTGCATTGCAGGAGATACATGCGACAAGAAGAAGAGATATGTGATATAGATGCATGTTTGAGTGTTTATGTATATGCAATAGTATATGTTTGCATGAATACTATAAAAATGCATACTGTTCATGCATGCATGTACATATATTGCATATATATATATGTGCATATATATTGCATCTATGTATGTATATGTGTGTATGAACAGTATAATAAATTAATGCATACTGTTCATGGGTGCATATATATATATATATATATTGTATATACATGTGTATATATATTGCATCTATCTGTGTGTATGAACAGTATAAATTAATGCATACTGTTCATGCATGTATATGCACATGTATATTGCATATACATGTGCATATATATTGCATGTGTGTGTGCATGAACAGTCTAATAAATTAATGCATACCATGCATGCATGCATATACATATATTGCATATACATGTGCATATATATTGTTTCTGTATGTGTGTGCATGAACAGTATAATAAATTAATGCATACTGTGCATGCATGCATATACCTGTATTGCATACATATGGGCATATATGTATCTATCTATCTGTATGCACATATGTATGTATGTGTATGTATGAACGGTATAATAATGCATACTGTGCATACATGCATATACATATATTGCATATACATGTGCGTATATATATTGCATCTATAGATAGGTATGCACATATATATGTATGTGCATGCATGAACAGTATCCATGGGTTTATTATAGAATTCAAAGACACAGCCTTGCCAGTTTGGAAAATCAGTATTCAAAGGGATCTTGCAAAAAAATCCAATCCGCACTGCAGAAATAATCCAGTTTGAGAGCGCTTTAACTGCCCTGGCTCAATGTTGGGGAATTCTGGGAACTGTAGTTTTGTGAGACATTGAGCCTTCTCTGTCAGAGACCTCTGGTGCCACAATAAACTACAGTTCCCAGGATTCCCTAGCACTGAGCCAGGGCAGAAAGCCGTCCCAAACTGGATTATTTCTGCAGTGTGTTTTGTACCTTAAGTCTTTGAGAGCTCATGCTGCCAATTTATTTATTTCAGTTAGTCTCAAAGTTGCTACAAGATCCCAGGTGTATTATACACTTGTAGAAGTGTGTAATTTTTATTATTAACTTTTATAATAAGTTTATAAAATGTTTATTATACCTTTATAAAAATGTGTGTAAAATAAAATACTGTATATAAATAAAAATGTTGTTGTGTGCCTTCAAGTAGTTTCTGATTTATGGTGACCCTAAGGAGAACCTATCATGGGGTTATCATGGCATGTTTCTTCAGAAGGGCTTTGCCATGGCCATCCTCTGAGGCTGAGAGAGTGTGACTGCCCAAGGTCACCCAGTGGATTTCCATGGCTGAGCAGGGATTTGAACCTTGGTCTCTAGAGTCGGCATCCAACATTCAAACCACTACTCCATGCTGAAATGTATATAAAAATAAAGTATTTATTATACATTTATATAATACATTGTATTTACAGACACTCCTTGTTTCCACCAGCCTTTTTTTAAAAAAAGGCAATTGGCGCTAAAGAAAGGGGAATGCATTGATTTCAAATAGGCATTTACTGCATTGGGATTGTGTGCTGTTGTCATAATTATCGCTGACATTATTATTATTATTATTATTATTATTATTATTATGCTGTTGATGTACATGGTGCTTTACAACAGAATTAAACATTTATAACTACTTCAATGTAAAATACCATACTAGAATACAATAAAAAAAATGCAATAGTCAAATTCAGTAGTAAACTATAATGCAAAAAAAAAACCAAAATACAGAATAAAACAGATAATCAATATTATTATTATTATTATTATTATTATTATTTAATTGCTTCCTCTCCTACCTTGGCTGCAATTGCTGCTTGGTTTGTTATTGTTTGTTTGTTTCAAGGAGTGGTATTTTGATGTTTAATTAACATGTTTTAATACTAATATTGGTTTAATACTTTTTTAAGGAGTGGGAGGGTTCTGGGATTTTTGGAATTGTATTTTAATAAATTGTATGAAATTTTAACTGCTGTAAGGCGCCCCGATTGTTTGACAGAGGGGCGTGATACAAATAAAAAATTATTATTGTTGTTGTTGTTGTTAATGCCTGAAGCATTTTTCAGGGGGAATCAGAAGAAATCATGGAACTTCCTGAAGAACATTGTCACTCCTTCCTATGAAGCTCAAGTCTTTTAGAAGCTGTCACAGAGGCTGCATCTAGACTGCAGAATTAATGCAGTTTGACATTGCTTTAACTGTTGTGGCTTCATCCTATGGGATCCTGGGATTTGTAGTTTGTGGTGGCTCCGGAGCTCTCTGACTGAAAACACTAAATATGTGACAAAACTACAAATACCAGAATTCCATAGCATTGAGCCATGGATGTTAAAGCAGTGTCAAACTGCACCAATTCAATTAATTCTTTTGCAATGTATTTCCTTCCTCTATTTCCTTGTAGTTTATTTCCTTGTAATTGTTGGAAGATTTTGTTTGCATTCTCTTTCCCCCTCCTTAGATAGATAGGGAATTCCTGCATGCAACCTCTCTTCCCCCATTCAAACTAACCATGTGATTTAGGTCACTCTCCCTTTGAGATTAACTGATATTCTCTCAAAATATTTCCAACTGAGATGTTGTGTTTCCATCTTCCTGCTCTCTCGATGTACTTTGTAAAGACGGTGATAATATTTCTTTTACCTGAGAAATATTTCTTTTACCTGAAAGATTCACTAGCTAAATTAGGATATAGCTTCTATGTAAATATAGATTAAAGCCATTAGTAAAC